TCTCGAGGGATAGCGCCCCCGACGGCGGCGGCGACGGCGCGACCCAGACCCCCGACGTCGGGACTTTTTTTCGCAGCGTCGACCCTGGAGGTTACAGTCGAAACCTATGATAAGGACGGGCGGTAAGGACGCAGGGGGGGGCTTTGGGCGCCGTAGTTGGCACTCTTTGGTTGGCGGACTGCCATCACCCTGAAGGGCTGACCAGAGAGAACCGCGAAGGACGGGCAGCAGGAAAGGACGCAATCCGTGCGTCCTTAACTCTGAGTTCTGACTGTAGACCACTTCCGCTCCACCGGCTTTTCATCCCAAGCAGCTTTTGGACGGTCCTCGGAGGAGGAAAAGGTACCCATACCGCTGCCGTTCCCTCGCTTTCCCCTTTGGTCGGCCTCCTTGGAGTCCCTCCTCGCCACCCTGGTCAGAACGCAACGGGGAGAGGTCCGGGGAGTAACTTAGCGGTATCGGTGCCTTTTGGTTTCTCAGGTCCTGGGGCCCGGCGAGGGCCCGGCGAAGGGCCCCACCCGTGGGCCGAAACTGAAGCACAGCTTCCCGTCGAGATTTCTGCACGGCGCGAAGGGGTCGGTGGACGGCGCGAAAGGCGCCCGCGACGGCGACGGCGACGACTTCCTCCCGGCGGCCTCGCGCGCCCCAGAGTCGGGGGTTCGCAGAGGGGGGTTCTCCTAAGCTGGGGTTGCGTGGGGAACACACCCAGCTGGATGCTCACTTTTCCTCCTCACGCGGGGCGTTTTGCGCGATCGTCCTCTTAGCCCACCTCTGCCATTGCCCTACCTCTACGCCCCCCCAGCCGACGACGACGACGACGACGACGACGACGACGACGACGACGGCGGCGGCGGCGGCGACGACGACGACGACGACGACGGCGGCGACGACGACGACGACGAGGCGGCGGCGACGACGACGACCACGACGACGACGACGAGGCCGCCCCCGAGGCCGCTCCGAGCGCGTCAGCTCCGGCGCCGTGCAGCGGCCTCCGCAGCAGCCTTCGGGTGCCCCGGGCTGCGGCGCGCCCCAGGAGACGACCGCGCGCCCGGGGCGGGCCCTCTCTCGCGCGCCCGCGTCTGCCGGGGTACGGCCGCTCGGAGGCCCCTCGGAGGCCCCTCGGAGGCCCCTCGGAGGCCCCTCGGAGAAGCCCCTCGGAGAAGCCCTCCGGAGGCCTCTCGGAGAAGCCCGTCGGAGGCTCCCCGGAGGCCCTTCGGAGACGCCTTGGAGGCCCCTGGGAGGGCCCTCAGAGGCCCTTTGGAGGCCCCTTTGGAGGCCCCTTTGGAGGCCCTTCTGGAGGCCCCTTCGGAGGCCCCTCGGAGGCCCCTCGGAGGCCCTTCGGAGGCCCCTTTGGAGGCTCCTTCGGAGGCTCTCGGCGGCGCCTCGGTGGCCCTCGGATGCATTTTGGAGGCTCCTGCTCGGATCATCGCGGGGGTTGCGAAGTGGATCCGAGAGTTTAAAGGTGTAGTATTTGTCCTAACCTGTCTTACACTTGGGTTACAGGGGCCCCGAGTGGCTTGGGTTAGGTTCGCTGACTCCGCGAAGTGGGCGGAGCCCACCCGGCCTGGATCCTTACGTCCCCTAAGCCGCTCAGGGAATTTCCAACCCACTTATGAGCTGTGTTAGGCCACCTGTGAACCACCGTGTCATCAATGTATGACCCCCTCCTCCCCGTGGAAACCACTGCGGTGATTGATGGAAGTGGAGGCCCCCGGCGGCCCCCCGTGGGGGCCCGGGCCCCCCGTGGGCGCCTCCGAATTCGCCACGGGCCGTCCCCGGGGCGTCCAGGAGCGTCCTGGGCCCCTGGCGGCCCTCGGCGGAGGCCCCTGCGGCCCTCGGCGGCCCTCGGCCGAGGCACTTGGGAGGAACTCCGCGCGCTGCGCGCGCGCTGCGCGCGCGTGGCGGGCGCGTCTGGTCCTCCTCCGCCCAGCGAAGGGCGAGGCTGCGCTCCGCGCCGCTCGGCGCGGCCACCTCGGGAGCCCCGAGCCGCCGTCACTGCCGCCGCCGTCCTCGGACATCCTCCGACAGGGCTTCCCTGAGCCTGAGATCCTGGCGCTGCAGTTTTTTTCACAGGGGGCGTTTCTGCTCTACTTCGCGCCCCCAGGACCCTCACAGATCCATCCGGCTCCAAGAAGGACGAAGAAAGACGGGGTCCTGTGCTCCGGTGGTGATTTTTCGCGACGGTGTTTTTTTGCTGCAACGTCGGATCTCTGGGTCGGACATGCCCCAGCAGGGGTTCCGTGGTAGCGTTTGGCCCGGCAGCGCGAATCGTGGGAGCCTTGTGTGTCCTCTCGTATGCTTCTGTTTTTTCAGATTGCGGCAGCGTGCGCTGGCGTCTGGCAATATCGCCGAGGACCTCTCGATGGAGCGTCGAGGGGCGTCGACTTGGCGTCGCTTTGGCGCCGCTTCGCGTCGATTACAGCGTCGGCAATCGTCGCGATTCGCAAGAGCCACCAAGCTGGCGTGGGAGGCTCTGATGAGTTGCCACCGAAGGTTCGCAAGAGGACTCCTCGTCGATTCGCGTCGATTGGCGTCGGCAATCGTCGCGATTCGCAAGAGCCACCACGCTGGCATGGCATGGAGGAGGAGGAGGAAGGATGAGGAGGAGGAGGAGGAGGAGGAGGAGAGAGGAGGAGGAGGAGGAGGAGGAGAGAGGAGGAGGGTAGTGAAGGAGGGGGAGGAGAGGAGGAGGAGGGGAGGAGAGGAGGAGGAGGAGGAGAGGAGGAAGGAGGAGGGGAAGGAGGAGGAGGAAAAGGAGGGGAGGAGGAGGAGGAGGAGGAGGAGGGAGGAGGAGGAGGCGTAGGAGGAGGAGAGGAGCGAGGAGGAGGAGGAGGAGGGAGCGAGGAGGCGCGAGGAGGAGCGAGGAAGGGAGCGAGGAAGAGCGAGAGGAGCGAGAGGAGAGGCTCTGACGTCGTCGCCCCGAAGTTTGCAGAGGGCTTGGAAGTCGCAGAGGGCCACGGGAAGGGCCTCCCGGGGGGGGGGGGGGCGGAGCGAGGCCGCCCCGGTCGCTCGCAGCGGCCTGGCGGCGGTCTCGTCTTTTTTTTTTTTCCTTTTTTTTGTGGTCGGTTCGATTTTTTTTTTTTTTCTTTTTTTCTCATTTTCTTTTTTTTTTTCTTTTGTTTTCGTTTCTTTTTGTTTTTTTTTTGCTTTATTTCGAGGTGTCCCCGATCGGGTATCGTACTGATCCCAGACCCCCTCGAGTCGTGAGAAAATCACGACGGGAGGTTTTTCGCTATTTTCGGCTTTTGGGGGCCCTCAGCGGGCCCCGGGACCGTCAAAAAGCGACTCGGGACGAGACACCGGCTCTGGGGAAGGGGTCGAGATCTTTGGGGGTCGCGTCATGAAAACATCATGACGTGGGGGGTCTGGGATGCTGGCTACATGTTTGGTCCAGACGGTCACGATCCCTCGTGGAAAGATTCACTCTCGACCCGCCTCCTCAACTTTTTTGCTACGAGGGTGGTTTGCCAGGGTTTTGGTTTCAATGCGCAGCCCAGGAACGTGCTTTTCTGTCGCAAACGGAGGCCTATCGCCGATCTGCCAGCGACATACCTCGCCGACGCCGAGGTCGAGGTTTTCGCCCTGCCGTTCCCCCTCAATTCCTAACATCCTCCGATCTGATTCTTGCAATGCGCGGCCCGAGATGTGCGATTCCTTCTCAGGGGTAGCTCGGGATCCATTTTTGACGGCCCCACTTGAATCACCACGGGGGTTGCTAAGTGAATAGGGGAGTACAGACGGATGCGAAGGTGGTTTTATCGGACCTAACCTAGCTTATCAGTGGATTACAGGTGCTCGAAGTGGCTTCGGTGGGATCGCTAACTCCGCGAAGTGGGCGGAGCCCACTTAGCCTGCTTCTTTGCTCCCAGTCTGGCCACCTCTGACCTCACTGATCATACATGCTGGGCCGTCTTCAGTCCACCTTAGCGGGAGGAGGGGGAGGAAGGGAGGGGGCGGAGGGAGGAGAGGGCCTGGCAATGGGTCTGGCAGAGGCCGAACAAAAATCGAGAAGGCGTTCGGAGCCACGTCCAATGGAGCTCGGGGTCCTCGCTGCCCCCGAGCAGGCCCGGCAGGGCCCGCCCCGGATCCACTCTTGACGGCCCCAGGGCCCGACCGCGGGCCCCGGGGGTCCAACATCGATTCAAGAGATCCGCGGGGGGTCGAAACGGGACGTCCGTCGCTCAACACACTCTGTCGCTGCGTGGACCCCTTAGAGGCCCAGACCACTTCCCCAGGGCAGATTTTCCGTCCCGGGTCGCCATCTCGACCGTCCCGGCGCCCGTTGATTTAGGCCTCCTGGATGGGTCGGAGGATCGCGCAGCATCGCCGACGCATCGGCGATGCGGCTCGGTGAGGAGCCCGATTCTCTCGACGCTTGCGTCGCCGATGTATCTCCGATGTCGCTTATCGCCGCCTCTCGGGGCCCAGGCTCGGCGCGGAAGGCCCCCCGCGGCCCGCCCGCCGCCCGGCCGCCGCGCCCCCCGCCCCCCGGCGCGGCCGGCGCCCCCGCCGCGGCGCCCCGCGCGCCGCGGCCGGCGATGCGCCTGCCGGCCGGCGGGCCGCGCCCCGCGCGGCTCCGCGCGCGGCGGCCCTCGGCGCCGCGCGCGCCGCGGCCGCGCCGCCGCGCGCCCTCGCGAGCTCGGTGGTGCAAAGGTGGGGTCCCGAGGGATGGGGTTGAGTGGGTACAGGAGGAATATGCAAGAATAGTAGAGAAGTAGTCCGGGGACGATTTCTCGACTATCTTCGACATTTTTGTTTTTGTGTTTTTTATAGAGCATTTTTGGACTACTGTCGATTTTTCGTTCAAAATCCGCTTGTAGAGGGAAAGGATGGGGTCTGAGGGTGGATTTCTACGCTGTCTGAGGCACCTCGCTCCCAGACCCCCGACTTGATTTTTTCATGACGTGGCCCCCGGAGGTTCGGACCCATCCCCTTGGACGGGCTCTTCATCCCGAGCCGTTTTTTGACGCTCCCGGGGGCCAGCGAGGGCCCCCCGA